AGAGCAACATTTTAGTTTTACTTCTGTCAAATCTTTTAGAAACTGTTTTTTCAATAGCACCACGTGATATTCATGAGTCGTATCATGACTTACTTTCTTCTGCACTACCCAAAAGAAGATATTTTGAAAAAAATGATTAGTGATTTATTTTGTGAATATTAAAGTAATTAGGGTTTAATGTTGTTTGGAACAACATTGGACCCCAACATTCTTAAAAGATTTTCTTTTGTGTTCAGCAGAAAAAAGTCATACAGGTTTGGAATGACATGAGGGTGAGTAAATGATGAACTGAGTGAACTGTTACTTTAATGTAATGAGTTAATACATATCTACTTAATCTGCCAATGTACTTGCAAATTTCATGGAGAAAACCATCATCACTGTGAACACATTTACATACACTTGTATATTTGTGCACAGGAAGACTAAAACGAAACTAAACATTACCCAGATTCAGCATTAAATCAACTGATCCCCATACTCTACCTACTTTTTGAGAATTCAAATGCCATTTCTAATGAATTTCCCTGGTTCAGTGCCCAAAAGTGGCAGGGAGGCGCAGGGGTGGTGCAGTTGGATGCACTCCACTGTATCCGCTGGCTTGTGTAGAGCCATGTGTTTTAAAGATTTGACAGAAGATGCTCTAAATTATCTGCCTTCAGACAGTGCTATCCATTAGTTTCCCTCTCAGCACCGAGCATGAAATGCGAGTATTGGGGCAACTGTGCGTTGGGAGATATCATTCAGGACTATGAGCTATTGCCAAGCGCTGACAGTCAGGATAAATGCCCCCACTTTTCAAGCTGTACAAATGGCATTTGGCCACAATAATTCAGCAAAGGACAGTTCATTCCCCATCCAGAGCGACTGGACCCAGTCAAAAGCTATTACAGCATCTTCTTTATTAGTGCCTATGGTTTTGGTGTAGAGATCCTCAGATAAATACAGCTAAAATGCCACTTCACTCAGAAATATTGGGCCATTCCTCTGTTGCCTGACTGGGCCCGAATGGCAGCCTGTTTCAGACATTATAAACCTTTCTAAAGTCACACATTGCTCCTGCCAGCCATCTGTCATGATGTAAGTACCATCATTTGCAGACCAATAGAAGTGATCAGTAGTTTTCCCCCCATGCAGGCTCCAAGCGAGGCATCATAGTCAAAGGAATTGATTATCACTTTATCATTTAAGTATAGCTTGCTTTAAAGAATAATAACTCACATTTAAGGTGCCAAATGGCTTTGCATATAGCTCAAAACGCCAGCCATTTAAGAATAATTGTGTAATTCATCATTTGTGACGTTGCTTTATAGTTTTTTGCATCTCGGCGGGGCCAAAGAGCTCGACGGAATAGAAGCGTGCTGTCACCTGTGACGTTTGAAAATCTCAGCGAAGCTTTAATACTTTGCCAGAGGGACGCGCGCGCGTTCAGACTTCATGACAGCGGTTTTATCGTGCGTCGCCTCGTAAAGGCACGTCATAGGACGCGCCCGACACTTTTATTAAACAGCTATTCACCGCGTGCGCGCCGAGAGATGTGCAAAGATAAATCCTCATGAATAACTGAACTGTCTGTTTGAGGTTCGGTGTGTCATACAAAAGTTAGAACGTGATCCAAACAGCTCATACAATGATTAGGTACAATAATAGCTTTTTAGGATATTTGACTTTGTATTGTGTTATTTAAATTAATACAATGGCTATAAATAATAACCCATTCAGATAGATAGATAGATCGACTTTTCTCAGATTGCATAGGCTATAGACCTATACATGTAAATTAAGCTATAATAAAACAGCATAATATGAACAGTCTTCTACTGGCACGTTTCTTAAGGGAATAAACTTTACTTTACCTACTCTTTGCTTTTGTACTGGCATTCATTTTTATTCCCTTTAGGCCCTATTGCTTTGATTTCAATGCAATATTCCAATCAGCCAGATTGGCCCGGACTTTTAGAAAATGAGATCTGGCATTCGACTAAATGAGAATTTCCTGTACATAGACATTCATTGGTTCACGCAGGAAATTAATGATAAAAAACGCCCATCTTTGTGTGTGGCGTGCGTATCGCTGCTAATCTGCGCCTTTGTGCAAATGTAACCAAGGCTGCTCTTTGGCAATCGAGCGCAACGCCACGGCTTTGAGAAAAACCACTTGTTCTGTCACATAATTAGAGATCTTATACCCGCTTTGTGAGGGGGGAGAGAGAGAGGATGGAGGGGGCCTTGTTTGCCCATTTAAAGTGTGATTCAGATAATAGTGTTCTCATCAAAGGTAGCAATTACATTCATTACACAGGCGGCCGCGAGGAAATTAAGTGGCAGGAAAATGAAAAGCTTAATATGTACTTCCTTTATCCTATTTCTTTCCCTTTCTCTGCTTCTACACACGCCCCGTGTCGCACAAGGGTGGGGGGTGTAAGATAGGGTCTCTCCAGAAATAAATAGTCTTGGGGGCGTGAAGAATAAATCCAGCAGTGATCCTCCTTCACCCTTTAGCAGTAATGATTTGGCGTTGGGGCAGCCGTTTCTATAGCTGCGCTCTTCAGGCAGGATTAAAAGCCTTTCTTCGGGGGCTAATGTCCACGGCAGCCTTTAAATGACTCCAGCATATGATTGGAGTCTTAAAAAAGTGCTCAGGGGCCTTCTCCAAATTAATACCCAATTCCTTTCAGGAGAAAATGAATTGTTTCGCGTTCTATAAAACCACAAACAGCACATAAATCAAGCGCTTTGGAGGGGAGAAGGGGGCCCGCTCATTCAAAGGCTTTTAAATGTGAATTAGGGTGCAACGGGGGAACTTGGTCTGACTTACCCCCGAGCAGGTGTCGATGGAGCGGCTTCAGACACTCTGCAGATGCTAAATTAAAATGGAGAGTGAGAAGGGAGGAAACTAAACCGGACAAACAAATGTAACTAATTTGTTATAGCCTATAATCGGTATTTGTGACCGAGTTACTTCAAATCATGACATCTGTGCGGAGTTTGAATATTTGGACACTATAAGTGGTTGTCAAAACCAAAAAGAAAGAAATGTAGCCTATTTGGCACAATGGCATTTATAAAACATATTGCAACATCGTTAGATTTCCAGAATATCTTAATCTGATGTCGACCAATGATAGACAGCTATAAGAAACAAATTAACTGTTATCATCACAGCAACTATTTTTCGCATGTAGGCCTACTGTTGCTCCCCGGCTTTGAAAACAATAACGCTTCATGAAAAGAAGCCCACTTGAAACCCCAATTAATCTTTTTCAACTGACAAATTACTGTCACCCTGCTTGAATTATTTAAGGGGAAGTGGCTTCACGGGAAACCTGAGCATAATTAAATTGCTATAAAATAACATTAGTGTGGACAGGCCATTAGGAAGTGTTGTAATTGACTGCTTCGGGGGTCGTAGTTCAACCCCACAAGGTCAGGCTGTCTTGCCTACCTTTGGTCAGTTTATGGTGCTTTTCACTGAAACCCACAGACTGTAAATACTGCACCTCATAGTAACTGTCTGTCTATAATTCTCACTCAATAATGCTAAAATAACAGTGCACTTTGAATCAAGACTTCTCAGCTTATTCATATGCAACAATCAAAATACTGACAACTCTCATTATGCTTTGTGCATAATAAAAGAAAAAGAAAAAATGTAAATGAAAACATACAGGCCTACCTTATTTCCCTACATGGTCATCACAACTTGACATCCTGCGCCATCTAGTGTCCTAACTGTGAATAAAGCTGGATTCAGCCCTATTTAAAGTATAGAATTATACAACAGCAAATCAGCAATGATATGCTTTTGGTAAGAAGAATTGTCTGTTCGAGATGCAGTGTCTGTGGAAAAGTCTAAACAAAAACAGTGTAGAAAATAAATAATAAAAACTAACTAAATAATGATATATAATTATATATAATTATATATATATATATATATATATATATATATATATATATATACAGTTTGTTAACATTTTAGCCTATGGGAGCAAGGCAAGTTGTTCTCTGGTCATCTGAACCATGATCACAGGGAATGAATTGCCGCATGTTACACTAGAACCCTCTCATTACAACTCTGAAGAGTGTCATAAGGATCCAAAGCTCTCGCTCTAACTGGTCATTTGTCACAACCTCTTCAATGGTTTTCCTACAACCCTGACACAAATGGGGCAATGCGATCTTCGGCTAACTTCCCCTCTTGTTAAATATTAAACGCTATGAAACATAAATGAGCCAATCCTGCTATTTAAAGTAATGCAATTGGCTCAAGTACTCATCAAATTGCCCATGACATTTGAATATGGAAATTATCCATGTATTTAGCTAATCTGGTAAAAGGTGATGAATCATCAATGCACTTGATGCAGAACTCTAAAAGTTTTTTTTTTAACGGATCGATGCTGTTTTGCAGCTACCTTTTGGATATGAATATCAATTAATATATTAAGATTTAGCCTTATTTAAGAAAGTATTAAAAAGCAAAAATGGTACACAACACTTTCAGAAATATGCTTTTAATTAAAACATAAAAAGAAAATTAACAGGGTGCCTAAAAGGAAGGAAATAAAGGAGATAGTCATTGCTGAATGAGGGATTGAGTAGATTTAATATTTTAAATATATATTTTTTAATATTTATAATATCATACAGATTTATGTTGCGAATGACAGCATGTTTAATGTGACTGCTTGAGTATCAATTAAAACAATATTCAGAAGAAAACATGATTTGATTAGAGGAAGGGAAAAGCTGAATACGTCGTTTTACAGTTTGTTATTTTAACAATTGTGGGCTACATAGGCTAACAACTAAAGACATGGCAAAATAACAAGACCTCAAATCATGAAATGGAAATTATGTAATTAAATACTGTATTCGCACATTTTAGGATACTGTGTTAGGATACATTCATTTTGTAAAGTCTGGTTTCCTCTGCAAAAGTCCTGTGACACACAGGAACTAACGTTAAATGGTAATTTATCGGAGCGAAGTCGGAATCATTTCAGCAGCGCACCTCCTGTTTGAACTTTCACCCCTTCGTTTTCTTTTGTTTTGATGTCGCAGAGCATCATTTAGGCTACCAAACACCGTTTTTTACTGTCTGTTTACTAATGACACAGTCCTAGTGGATACACTGAGTATGTTTCAACTACGTCGATCTAAGTTCTGCTCAAATATAAAGCTCGTTTAAAATCTGTTTTCAACTGAATCAGTCGTGCTAACTCGCTGGCGTTAGCTGTCCAGCTTCAACATGAAGCTTTATTTACTCCCATTTTTCTAATATCCCCTTAAAGAACGGGTCGACAGTCAATACATTCAACGACTGAGTGTGGTTTTAATTCCTCTGACGTCTTTGAGAAGGTAACTGTTGTTAATTGTTGTTTTAATGATAGCTTAAATGTTGGGAATGCTTAGCAACGTCAACGTTCACTCGCTATCATAGCAACGCATGTTACGCTGTGAACTGGATAACAGCCAGACTAATACGACTGATTAGTACAACTGTCACAAGTTCCACTATTAACTTGTGAGCTTAAGAAATGTCATATGTTCACCGCACCCGTTGGCCTGTGATTGCATGTTATTGTAGAAGAATCGACTGGATTCACACTTTACATACTGCTTGAAAACTATTATTTTGTTTCTGTTTAAAGTGGGTATCATGTTAGCTAGGTATTTAATTCGTTTTTATTAAATTGACATCTGTAAGATCTTCTGGTTGTATTTTATTCTCAGCCTGTTTGGTCTAGTTTAAGACAACAGAGGACGGCGGTGTAGATCTTTCAATGGGCGAGGAGAAGCCAGAACCACTGGATTTTGTGAAGGACTTTCAGGAGTACCTGAGTCAACAGACCCAACATGTCAACATGATATCTGGCTCTGTCATCGGAGGGAAAGACAGTGAGGATCTCCAAGGAGGTAATGCTCAGAGGGCCTTCCAGTGTGTTGTTTTAGACTTGACTAAATATGTTCTCAAAAAAGATAATTCTGTCATTTCTCCCCCATATGTCTTTTCAAAACTGTAAGACTTTCGTTCATCTTCAGAACACAAATGAAAATGTTTTTGATGAAATCTGAGAGATTTCTGTCCCTCCATTGACAGCTACGCAACTGAAACTTGGCCACTTCAAAAGGTTCAAAAGAAATTGTAAAACTAATCCATATGAATTGAACGGGTTAATCCAAATTTCCTGAAGAGACTCGATCGCTTCATATTCTTCGATAAAATATAAAATTTAGGTTTTTATTCACAGAAAAACATTTACCAGTAAACATAAACAGAAGCTCAAACGTGCTGCGTAACACGAGAATGAACCTCATTGGTTCTCGCATGTCAAGCGAACATGTTTGAGCTTCCATTTACCACAACAGTTGATGAATGTTTAATATGTGAATAAAAGCCTAAATTTAATCTGTTCATCATATAAGAGTCTCGTGTCTTCAGAAAATTTGGACTAAACCGCTCAATTCATATGGATTAGTTTTATGATCTCTTTATGAACTTTTTGAATCATCAAAGTGTCAGTTGTGAAGCTGTCAATGGATGGACAGAGAGCTCTCAGATTTTATTAAAAATATCTTAATTTGTGGTCTGAAGATGAACGAAAGTCTTACAAGTTTGGAACGACATGAGGGTGAGTAAATAATGACAGAATTCTTGGGTGAACTAACCCTTTAAAACATTCGGTAGGTGCTAGTTTGAGACCAAATGTTGGTTTGTAATTTATTTATAAACTTTTAAAGTTATTTATTTATTTTAAGTATTTAAATATTTATTTATGATGTTTATTGAATTATTTATGTCTTATAGTTCTAGCCACGCTGTAGGGATCCCAATGCTGTTACTTTTTTTTGTTATTTTGGAATGAATTAAACAATAAATTAAAGGTACAGTATGATCTTTTTTTGTTCAAAATGAACAAAATTGTAATAATTTGTCTACATCATCAGTCCTTCCAAAACGTGTTTTTGTTTACCCTGATTCACTATGGTAAGGGCAGGATGGTTTTCACGAGAAACATGCGTCACTCGCCGTGAGTGTCTAGTCATATCCGTTGACAGAGAAAAGTTTCTTCAGCTACTTTGACACGTGCATGGTGTGGGAGAGGCATAGGTTAGTTTTCACAACAAGCGAAAAAGGATGACATGGTGCAGGCTAAATCTCGAATCGCCCGTTAAATACGCAGAATAGAATCTGCTGACAGTCACAGAGCTTGTATTAAAACGAGAATCAACATTGGCTTGGCTTTTTGGAGATGGCGAGAACTGAGGGATTTGAAATGTTGTAAAAGTGAAGCGGGGATAGTGTTTTTTTTTTACTCAACAAGTATGGCATTTTATTGAACAGATAAATTGCCATGTGTAGCTCTCTAACAGAGTTCATTGTAAAGCATTTATCTATTGTGAGCAATTTATTAAAATTAAAATAAACTAGTGCAATGCCCGTGCAAAATCTGTTTTTGTGTGTTTTTAGTAATTGTTGGTTTGGTATGTTTGAGTTGCTTAATAGCCAAGGCTACTATTACACAGGAGCCTAAACTCTGAGGAAACGATAACGTTAAGCGCACCAGAATAAAATATAACATTCATAATTAAACAGTGTAGCTGACTTACAGATTCAGTAAACATCCACAAATGAATAAGCGCGTCGATTCAGAGGAGGTTCAGACCTTGGCTGGAGCAGCTACACAGTGAACTCAGAGAAAACGCTACGCTTGAGCAAACAGTTTGTGAATAGGCTACTACAAATGATGGCCATGAATAAAATATAATATTCAGATATTTTTAAACCACAACCCTCTAATGTCAGAATGTTTATTTTGGGGAGTGGCCACTCAGTGTGCAGTGTGAGCCAGAGTGGCCAGCGGCTAGAGCGGCAAAAGCCAATGTGTGCTTCTTTTACCGATATATTTACCGATATCTTTTGCATTTCTAATCCAAACAACGTCAAACTTGGTAAAACTTGTTTTTAGTAATTGTTGGTTTGGTGTGTTTGAGTGCTTATTGTTACAATTACACAGCAAAAGTTCAGTGACATTTTTATTTGTGCATGGTTGAAAGCAAATACTGATACTGACATACATTATACAGGTCCTTCTCAGAAAATTAGCATATTGTGATAAAGTTCATTATTTTCCATAATGTAATGATAAAAATGTAACTTTCATATATTTTAGATTCATTGCACACCAACTGAAATATTTCAGGTCTTTTATTGTTTTAATACTGATGATTTTGGCATACAGCTCATGAAACCCCAAAATTCCTGTCTCAAAAAATTTAGCATATTTCATCCGACCAATAAAAGAAGTGTTTTTAATACAAAAAAAAAAAAAGTCAACCTTCAAATAATTATGTTCAGTTATGCACTCAATAGTCAATACTTGGTCGGGAATCCTTTTGCAGAAATGACTGCTTCAATGCGGCGTGGCATGGAGGCAATCAGCCTGTGGCCCTGCTGAGGTGTTATGGAGGCCCAGGATGCTTCGATAGCGGCCTTAAGCTCATCCAGAGTGTTGGGTCTTGCGTCTCTCAACTTTCTCTTCACAATATCCCACAGATTCTCTATGGGGTTCAGGTCAGGAGAGCTGGCAGGCCAATTGAGCACAGTAATACCATGGTCAGTAAACCATTTACCAGTGGTTTTGGCACTGTGAGCAGGTGCCAGGTCGTGCTGAAAAATTAAATCTTCATCTCCATAAAGCTTTTCAGCAGATGGAAGCATGAAGTGCTCCAAAATCTCCTGATAGCTAGCTGCATTGACCCTGCCCTTGATAAAACACAGTGCACCAACACCAGCAGCTAACATGGCACCCCAGACCATCACTGACTGTGGGTACTTGACACTGGACTTCAGGCATTTTGGCATTTCCTTCTCCCCAGTCTTCCTCCAGACTCTGGCACCTTGATTTCCGAATGACATGCAAAACTGAGCAACAGTCCAGTGCTGCTTCTCTGTAGCCCAGCTCAGGCGCTTCTGCCGCTGTTTCTGGTTCAAAAGTGGCTTAACCTGGGGAATGCGGCACCTGTAGCCCATTTCCTGCACACGCCTGTGCACGGTGGCTCTGGATGTTTCTACTCCAGACTCAGTCCACTGCTTCCGCAGGTCCCCCAAGGTCTGGAATCGGTCCTTCTCCACAATCTTCCTCAGGGTCCGGTCACCTCTTCTTGTTGTGCAGCGTTTTTTGCTACACTTTTTCCGTCCCACAGACTTCCCACTGAGGTGCCTTGATACAGCACTCTGGGAACAGCCTATTTGTTCAGAAATTTCTTTCTGTCTTACCCTCTTGCTTGAGGGTGTCAATGATGGCCTTCTGGACAGCAGTCAGGTCGGCAGTCTTACCCATGATTGCGGTTTTGAGTAATGAAACAGGCTAGGAGTTTTTAAAAGCCTCAGGAATCTTTTGCAGGTGTTTAGAGTTAATTAGTTCATTCAGATGATTAGGTTAATAGCTCGTTTAGAGACCCTTTTCATGATATGCTAATTTTTTGAGACAGGAATTTGGGGTTTTCATGAGCTGTATGCCAAAATCATCAGTATTAAAACAATAAAAGACCTGAAATATTTCAGTTGGTGTGCAATGAATCTAAAATATATGAAAGTTTAATTTTTATCATTAAATTATGGAAAATAATGAACTTTATCACAATGTGCTAATTTTTTGAGAAGGACCTGTATATGGAAAATTTAACTATATTAACAACTGACAACTAACTACTTCTGAATAACTACAATATTCAGAAGTAAACAGTGTATAGACGGTTTCAACGGCAACAACATAAACAAACGTTACTGCGCATGCGCGCTTTTGTGGCCCAAACTTAACTTCCGGTAGAGTCAATAACAACAGAGTTCATCATAGACTTTTTGTGAGAAAAAAGTCAGAATTGTGAGATAAAAAGTTAATTCTGTCTTTTTTTCCTCGCAATTGCGACTTTATTTCTCAGAATTGCAACTTTATTTCTCACAATTCTGACTTCTTATCTCGCAATTGTGAGATAAAAAGTCGCAATTATTATTATTATTTCTTCAGTGGCGGAAACAAGCTTCCATAATTATCTGTTGCTTATCATGAGTTTGTTACCTGTAACGAAGTGAGTGCTACAGATCCTTGAATTCTTGCCTGGCTGCCAAGCCTCTCATCGCACAGCGGTGATCCACGCTCGCCGTCTCCCTTCGTTTTTAGGAAACCGACATTTTTTTTTTTTGATAAGGTATTTGTCCCAGAGCCTCAGCAGGTTGCATCCCACAACACAACAACCTGAGCCCAACTTCAGTCTACTCATCACCTTAATTTTCACTGCGTTTGTAGTCGGCGCCATATTACCAGAGAATGATATTATGATATTACCGGTTAACAAACACAGACCGGAAGTTAACTTCGGGCCAGCGCGTAACCCCGGCAACGCGCGTGCGTTCGATGAAACCGTCTATCCACCTTATTCTGCTCTAAACAATGCGCGCTGCCATGACGACGACTCCGGTTGTCAACTTCCGGTTCGTAGCGATCGACCGGTAAGTTACTAGCAGAGAGAGAATGAGTTCAGGTTCCACATGTGCTGTTGTTGGTTGTTTTAACAATTCAAAGAAGATACAAAACTTTTTAGAAACTGAGTGCTTCGAGCATAAGATAAGAAGGAGAGAATGTCCGTGTCCGGTTCCGTATCAGCTACATTCAATGCCAGAGTGTAGACATTTAGAGTGGTTAGCTGCGCTAAAACTGAAACATCCACCGAAAAAGGTGTACGTCTGCTCGCATCATTTTGTTGACAAACGCCCCACGGATGACCATCCCAACCCGGAATTATACCTTGGATATGACAGACCAGTGGTGAAGAAGAGACGTGCAATTGTTCGTGTCGAAGCGACAGGTAAGCCACTTTTAATGTTGAATTCTGTTGAGTTAACGTTAGCTACCTCCGGTTGTTTACATTTTACAAAATATTTATTTTATCTGTGGGCAGCCTAACCTATATTTTTACAATCAATATGCCCCAGCCTGAAATATTCGTGTCATCTGTGGGCAGTCTAACCTACATTTTATGAATAATATGCCCATTATGTGGGTAATATGTAATAATTTTATGTAACACTATGCCCATTATGTAATAATATGCCCATTATATGCCCATAATGTGTTTACATTTTTACGAGCTCCACCGGCCTGAAATATTCTTGTTATCTGTGGGCAGTCTAACCTACAGTTTTTTTTTAACAATATGCCATTTATGAGTAAATATGTTAAAAACATGGCCATTAATGGTTTATGCCTTTGTCCACCGAATGTTACTGTAGGTTTAATGCTATATGAGTGCTATCTTTATGTGGGCTAGGTAGTTGTTAGCCTGAGCGAGGAAGAGCTTCCATCACCATTTATCATAAGCTTTTACTATAATGTTGTCAGTGTGAGAAACATGGACAGAAAGAGTTTAACATGTAGCCTATGTGCTCTTTTTTTTTTACAGCAACAGCAGAAGTGACAGACCAGGAGGATGAGGGCATACCTGAAGTGCCACAAGTATCATACAGCACTATTTCCACCCAGTGGGAAGATCCATTGCTTTGGGACCACAACTATGGTGAACAGCAGGGTGCTGATGAGACAGCCAAAGATGCCACAACACAAACTGAAGATTTCAGCTACTCCATGCTTCAGAGTGATGCCGATTCATTCCTCTACACTGGAGTCTCACTGGAAACCTTCAACTCTCTTGTTTCCACCTTAGATGGATTTGCTGAAAGGGCTTTTGTTTTGTCAGTGCGTGATCAGATACTAATGACACTGATAAAATTGAAATTAAATCGTGTGCTGGGTGACCTTGGTAGGCAGTTTCATGTGTCTCAGTGTTGCCAGTAAGGTTATCTCCTTCTGGATTGATAAAATGGAGGAGGTCTTGCGCCCTCTTATTATCTGGCTCCCAAAAGAAACCATTAAGGCCACTATGCCAACTGCATTCAAGAAGTTTTTTCCCAACACTACCTGTGTCATTGACTGCAGCGAAAGTTTATTACAGAAGGCGAAAAATCTTGACTCTAGAGGGGAGTCCTACAGCCATTACTACTCGCACAACACAATCAAATACCTTGTTGCTGTTGCCCCATGTGGCTTAATCATGTTTATCTCAACTGGATATGGAGGACGTGCCAGTGACAAATATATCACTATGAACTCTGGTATCTTGGACTATTTAAAGCCTGGAGACGAAGTCATGGCAGATCGTGGGTTCTTGGTTCGTGATTTGCTGTTTGAAAAAAGGGTCAAATTGGTTCTGCCTGCTTTCACTAGAGGGGGTGCCCAGCTAACTGAGGAACAAGTCACAGCATCTCGCAGGATTGCAAATGTTCGGATTCATGTTGAGAGAGCAATCAGACGACTTAAATTATACAAGATCTTGTCTCAAGTAATACCAATAAACATGACCCCCAAAATTGAAAAAATCCTCAGAATCTGTGCGGCCCTCGCAAACTTAAGGGGTGATCTCATCTGTGAGTAATAAGTGAAAACAGTGATGTTCTGAGGTTGTAGTTTCATCTGCACACACACACACACACACACACACACACACACACACACACACACACACTTTACACATCTACATAAATTGCTCCTGTATATTTCATATTGACACTCGCTGCCTTTTTTAATTTTTGACTGTTTATATTTACTCTTTGTATGAAATTTAGCCTGAAATGGTTTTGGATAGTCATGTTAATTCAAAAAATCTTGTATAATATGAATTACTGTTTTTTTTATATTTTTTATTATATATATATATATATATATATATATATATATATATATATATATATATATGATATTTGTATTTTTGTAATTGAATTTGTCATGAAAATAGCTTTGAATGCTGATATGGCATTAAATAAAATAATCTGAATCTGTAAGAAATTTGTTGTTATTATTTGAGTTTGTGTACAATAGATTTTATCAGATTTGCATACAATTTTACATGAACAACATTATGTATTCATAAATATTCACTTATGTACAACAATACTTATGCTCAGCATTTTTACATGTATAAAATTGTTTGGGTAAAAAAATTAGTTTTCATACTGTTAACAGCAGCAGCACCTAACAGTTGTTTTGTGATTTGAACTAAATGTTTCTGAGGGATATTTTCTATTAATTCATTATGCTCATGTATCTGTTCTGCAGTTTCAGTCGCTGACCAACAAATTCATCCACAAGCTGGGGCAACATTGTTGAGAAATAAAATCTCTTCAGATGTCCTACCCTCTCCAGAACATAGGGCTCATCAAATGGTACAGTGAACATAACTGTGTCAATTGGGCTCCAGATAAACAATTTGGCCATCTTCAGACCGGCACAAAACATGCCTAATTGTATCTGCATGTAATATCCTCGACTACCGGTTTTCTGAAGTTGTGGTACTCCATCTACTAGCTTGATGTCACTGCAGTTATGGTCAAGTTGATCCAAGAGGGTAGAATGGAGTTTACTTGGGACGGGACATTTTATTTCGAGTAGGACAGATGAGTCAATTACCCCATCTGGGCTGGCTGACAACCATGGCTCTGTGACACTAACAACGATGCCCCTGTGTGTAATACTCATGCCTTGCTCTCGAAGTGCATTACCAGCAACCACCTCATTCTCCTTACCATAGTTTGTGGCATAGTTGCCACGAAAGGAGGGGTACAGGTGCTCTGCCATAAACTTATCAGGATTGGTGGATGCTCTAGAAGGAACCTTTTTAGCTGAACTTGCAGTTATTCTCAATTTTCTTGCATTGTGCCACAAATCGGAAGAACTCTGCTCCCTTGTTTCAGATTCTAAAGTAGAAGCCTGTGCACAGCTCACTTGAACATACAACTCATAGAAACTTTTACATGTCTCACATGTGAGATCAGAACCAGCATGTGTTTGATGGGGTCTTAAAAATCTTGCATCTACTGCAGTATTTGCAAGGCTACAAGGTTGCTCTACTGGTTTTACACTGTAACACTTGCCCAATAGACTGTTTTTTAACAAGAAAAGTGGCTTTGTTGGGTCTTTGTCTACATTATTTATCAATTCTGCTTGTGACATATATTGTGGGGTGTTTGGTAATGGCTGAGCACCTGACACACTAATGCTAAATTCATCTCCTGCCCTGTGGTGGCTGAAATTTATGTCCCTCAGTCGTTTTGGCTCAAGGTTCCTGACTGTCCCTGCATTCCACCTGCGCTGCTCATCTGTACATGCAAGCCCTGTCTTCCCGGTAGTAACTGCATTCTCAACCTGTCATGAGCACATTCACCTAAAACGTTACCAGAATCTGCTCTATATGCTTTTGCCATGTGTTTCAGATTGTTTCATCCCCACATCGCTAAACTAAATCGAAAAAAAACATGCATCAAATGTGATCTGATCACGTTATTTTTTATTAAATCACAGATAAAAACAAAATGAACTTTTTTCTTTTCTTCATACCTTCCAAAGGATAGCTGATGCATGACTGCACGATCGCCCTAATCCAGCAATACATGAACATCCGGCAGTCTCTATCACCCCCGACTGCTGCAGCATAACCCAAGCAATAAGCTTAGGCTGATTAGCACTTTGACTTCTGTCTACCTCTGCTTTCAAAAATACATAGTCTCCGTGCTTCAGTAAGGAAATGCGCCCGACTTTATTACTAAAGAAGTAATTGAAGGCCTCTGTGCTTTTGTAATTGCGCATCTCCTCATGATCTACACCCTCCGAAAAAATTAAATAATTAATAATGTCAATATGGCTAACTCCTGGCCAAAGCTTCATGTCATCCACCCAACCTGTCAATTTTGAGGGATGTAGCACTCTGATACGGTCGCCTTCACGATCTTTTGTGATTTCATCAGCGGTGTGTAGCCACCGACTACTTCCCATCTTGACAGAATAATTATCTTATACTTTAATAACTACAATCTATCACCGCAGCCTTTACGCGAGTGCTAGCATTCTATGTAAACAAACACTTCAACCGGAAGTAGAAAACCGTTTAGTCAGTTGAACCCGCTATGAATCATGGGAAATAGAACGGGCGAAGAATAAGGTGGATAGTAGCTGACTTAATGTTTAGCTGATAGAATGTTTATTTTTAAACCACCATTTTTAAACCACAACCCTCTATAATGTCAGAATGTTTATTTTTAAACCATAACTTCAATGTGTGCTTCTTTTATCGATATATTTAACGATATATTTTGCATTTCTTATCCAAACAACGTCAAACTCGGCACTGCACTTACTCGGGCCCGTAGCAAGACACCTGTCAAGTTTGAAATCCATCGGACTAACGGTTCGAGAGATATTTGATTAACAGACAGACACACAGACAGACAGACGTTCCTGTAATTTATAGATAGATAATAATATAGTTACATGGTTTACCTTTAGGTTATTTTATCATAGATTAACATGTCCAACAGTTTTCTCAACATTTGGATTTATGCCTGTAATTCTTTAAAAAAAAAGTGTACCTTATTTGTGGAAAGTACCTGCTGTTTCTAGTGTGCTGAATGCAAAACTCTAATATAACTTAATATATATCTTGATGTGTCCCATGTCTTGATCTTAGTTATTTTCTGTTCTTGTTTTCTTACCTTAAAGAACTTGGCCAGAATGGCCTGGAGCACCCAGCAGTGGACATGTCCTTAGAGGATAGTTCAGGGATGTTAGTGGATGGCTTTGAGAGAACATATGATGGCAAACTCAAGTGCCGCTATTGCAACTACGCCACTAGAGGCACTGCAAGGTTAATCGAACACATTCGCATCCACACAGGTAAGACTGAAAACTGATCTTTAACTTTAGTTGCACTCTGACTACTTATATAGATGCTATTTTCATCAGTTTACCAAGTACATAAGATGTTATCTATCTCTTCCTTTAGGTGAAAAACCCCATAGATGCCACTTGTGTCCTTTCGCCTCAGCGTATGAGCGCCACCTGGAGGCACACATGCGCTCTCACACGGGTGAGAAGCCCTACAAATGTGAGCTGTGCTCTTTCCGCTGCAGCGATCGCAGTAACCTTTCTCATCACCGGCGTCGAAGACACAAACTCCTTCCCATGAAGGGCGCACGCTCTGCTATCTCACACCGAAAAATGCTCAGTGTCCTCCAGAAGAGAGGAAACTCTCTGGGTTATGGCCGCCGGCTGCTCATCAACCTCAGCCCGCCATCCATGGTATTGCAAAAGCCCAACTTAGAGCAGCACCACTTGGGTGACTTCGGTCATGATCTGCCTCCTCACGCCCACCTCCATCAGGAGGCCTTTAACAGTCTAGGAAAGGATGCGCAAGTTGGTGGAGCAATTGGAAGTGGCTCTAGGGAGGACCAGGACATGGTCTTGGACAACCCGCTGAACCAGCTTTCGACTTTGGCCGGTCAGCTTGCCAGCATCCCGTCTGAAGCTCAAGGTGCACCGGTATCTCCTGGAGCAGAATCTCTACCCGACGAAAAACCCACATTCCTCGTCCAGCAGCCTGTGATGGCACCCGCTGCCGTCTCTGTCAGCGCGGCTCAAGCTTCTTCTCCCATCACCCCCGAGCCCAGACCGGCAGCCCACAGTGGCTGCAGCCCAGGGGTGGGACCCTGCAGCGAGAGAACCAGCACTCCCAGTGGTACCAACAGCCAGCCAGGGACGCCCACACCAGTACAGGACCCCCAGATGCTCCACCACTGCCCCCACTGTCACATATATTACCCCGACAACATCCTCTACACCATCCACATGGGTTGCCATGGTTACGAGAACCCTTTTCAGTGTAATATATGTGGACACAGATGCAGAAACAGTTATGACTTTGCCTGTCACTTTGCAAGAGGCCAGCACAAATAAGGACACATGGGTGTTACCTTGCCATGTTTTACATAACAATAATACAATTATAGTATCTGGAACATTCCAAAGAAAAAATTGGTTGACTATTTTATTGGAACTGTTATTGGTATGTTATGAAGAAGTCAGTAAGCTACATTTAGAGTGTACATTTGTTGGTCTTTGAAAAGGCAAGAAATGTGAATGCGAATGGTGTTCTCACATCAAAAACTACCATCCCATTTTCCCAACTTTACAATCATTCAGAACACAGATTTTGCCTCAATTCTCTTTTATAAGTGCCAGAGTTCAGTAATCAGTGCCTACGGTTATTTTCTGAAAGTTGACACTTTACATTTTTTGTATTATTATTATTATTATTTTTACATTTGGAATTCAGTGACATGAACGACAGTAAATGTTACGGCTATTCTTACGCTTTAGTTTAAGTGTAACATGATATTGCCACATTTAATATTTCTTTCCTCTAATTTATGATAAATGATCACAAATTATTACTTGCTTATTGGTTGAGAGAGCTACATTATTTAGGCTTAACTTAAATCAACAAGGTTGAGATTGAAAAGAAAATATATAGCACAGATAAGTAACCTGGCTGTTTAGCAGTGAGAAATAGTGTCCTGTAGGATTGTTGTTCAAATTGATCATTTTAGTGACCTGAGGTCTTCTTACTTAGCACCATAGCACATGGCTGTATACACTGGTTTTGTAAAGCAGTGTTAATGATTGTGTTTGAGCAGTGTGGGCACACTGTTCTCTCTTTCATTCTCTCGCCGTCATCGCTACCACCTGTGCCATTCTGTAGATGTTATTTGTAATGTTTTTGGAAATGTCTGTGGTGCTACTATTTAAACATTTCATGTTTCTGTCTGCATAATGAACTAAATTATCAGAAAAGTATTGAATAACATGTTTTGGTGGATTTGATGTTGAATGTTAATAAACCTGACTTATGCGAAGTGTACTTCAATGATTGTTCATTCTGTCATTTCATTCTCAAAACCAAAAAGGTAGGCCTTGCATTTCTGCCTGGTCCACATCTGGCAAGTTGCCTAAATATCTTCCTGCTAATAAACCTTGAAAAGTCTCTTGACTATCTTAGATCCACCAGAAAATGTAAAGAAATAGAAATTCTTTAATCATAGATTAAATCTCTCATTTAAAACCGTATGTGTAGGGTATAAAGAAAAACTTTAATTATAAAAACCTACGTGTCTACAATGTATACAGTAAGGATGAAACAAGTTTCTCGTTCACATCCCAGTTCTGTGAATTATGACTGATTAGCTGAACAGTCCATTACATTGTCATCAGACACCTGTATAATTTGAGTTAATGCCTGTAAAATTAGAACGTCCATGTCATCATTGGTTTCAATTTCCTCGTGGTAGTTCTTCACTGGAAAGATGTGACACATTGGAACACCCACTGTAATACTGCACCATTCCATCTAAGAACAAATCATCTCGAAGGTCAAACTCAAATTTAAACTCAATGTGCAAGTCAGCAGCAGGATATGGAGCCTGGGGCTTATTTAAATATCATAATTTACCTTTTCGCTGATATTTTTGCTGTAGAAGATTCTCCGTAAATTTGTTTTCACCAATGAACATGCTTGATCCACATTTTTCATGACAATGACCAGGGGCAATGCTGCAAAATATGCAGGAAATCAGGTTTGTATATTCTGATTTATTTGATGTATTTATATATTTCTATTTGGCAAGGATTTTGCCTTAGTTCAATTAGGACATTTAAATATATTTTATAAACGTGATTTAGGAAAAAAAAAAAAAAAAATCTTATGTACATCTTGAGGCAAAACAATGGCACTGGCATGTAATATTTCAGTGCAAATTGCTTTCAGTTAAAACAGCTCAAACATGCATTCTAGTCTGACTATAGCTTTGACAGTTTTCTGTTGTTTTTTATATTGAACATATTTTCTACCCCCTAAACCTATCAGAAACCCTTTTGCAACTTTACATTTAAATTAAAACACAATTTAAGTCACTTTCCTCATTCCTCAAACAGACTCCATGCACATTTTGTTTTGCTTTGTAAAATGTTTAACTGTAATTTCTTCATCCACCACTTGATTTAGAGCAGTGGTTCTCAAACTTTTTAGTCAGCTTGAGATCAGTCCGCTGAGGAGGTGCTTATATATGTATATGGCGAGGATCTTTGTCGGGCTTGTTCAGACTGTATGAAGTCAACAGTCTGAAGAAGAAATTCAGAGGAATTGGCATTAAATTAAATTGTAAAACAGTCATTTTACCTCTTTCAATAACCGAAAGTGATATCAAAGAAGAAATGGTCTTGTTATTTTGTAACACGCATTGTGTCCTATTGGACATAGCTGTTAAAATCCTGTTCTTGTTGTGGAAATATTATATCCACAAATCCTTTTGGTCTGAGTTAAATAATTTGACTGATTCCTTGTCTAAAATACAAGAAAACTATTACGTTTAGTTAGTCCGGTATTGTTTGTACATGGCGCACTGCTTTGTTTGTGTTCTTGTTATTGCATTGTCTAAGTTTTCCATGTAAATAAAAGTTATGAGTCTACTTTGCCCACCTTCTTCATCCCTGGGATAAAACATGACACAAACAAAAAAATAAAAAAATAAATCCATTAAATTTAGATAAGAGATATGATTATGGTGTCCATTATGAATATAGTCCAGTATTTTGGTTTAGTTTTTCTCTCTCTCTCTCTCTCTCTACCTTCATGTCATCCCTGCATCCATTTCACCATATTATTTTTTAATGCAAAGCAAAATGTTTTGTGTTGATTAATAGTTATATACTGTATATCAATACATTCTCTTGACAGGCAGCAATTGTAAGAATCCTAGAGTATTTATAAGTGACTTGCTTGGTTCAATGATAGCAAAATAAAAAAAATATCTATATATTATATTCCACTGATATAGACAAAGAAGTGCATCTGAAGAAGGATTGCTTTAATGAATAAAAGAAAATTTCATTCAAATCAATTTGCTTAGGAAGGATAATATGATTTGATTAATGATACAGATGAGAAATAGAAATGCTGATGATGATCAAATCACTCTTCTGCCTCAATCTTCTCACGTTGTCTGAAAACATGTCTCCGCCCTGCACAGTAAAGTCAGTCATAAGTAGAATACTAATAATTCAAACTTGGACAGCTAGAGGTGTACAGGAAATTATCCAAATGTACCAGCTCAACATTTTAATAACATTTAAAATATTGAATGGAAACTGTAAATATTCATTAAAACATTTAATATATTTTTAAGAAGTTTCTTAAATACAGTTAAATGGATAGCTGACAATTCTGACTTTATTATGTTGTTTATCCTCACGTTGTTCCTAGATTCTTCCGAATTTTCCTTTTGTGCTCCACAGAGAAAGTAACAGAATATGGGTTCGGAACAACATGAGGGTGAGTAAATAATGACAGAATTGTCACTTTTGGGTGAATTATTGCTTTAAATCTGTGAGACTCTCTGTGAGAACTCTGACCTTTGAGTTTGATTGGCCCCAGCGTCACAGTATTGGTGTGGTAGGTGCTGTCAAGTGATCTCTTGCGACGGAAGCGGCAACCTTGGCGGCAGCGAGAGTTGTAATCGTTATCGGGGCAGATGATCACTTTACACTGCAGGTACACGTAGGCATGAGTCCGGAGGAACTTGAAAGCCTGGAAACTGAACTGAGCATAATAGTGCTGACCGCTGGTGTAGGAATGATATGTGCTGTCTCTGGGACATCTACAAACAAGGAAGGGAAATTGAGATAAAAATTTGAATTCGGAAAATAAATGAAGTACAGTCACACACTGAGTTGGTTTCACTATCTCAAATGAGTACAAGAACATATTTAAAATAAAAGGAACAGAATTTTTAATGATGTCTTAGATCTCAATTAATTCCACTGTCACATATGATATGATGCTGGAGGGTGTCATATTTAAGAATTAAAAGGTCTCACCCATCACGCAGCAGGTCATAGGAACGATCTTTGAAGTCATTGGAATTTGGAGATGCTACACAGTTGTCCAGGAAGAGATCCAAGCTGTTGTCAGGCCTGTTTAGATTGACTTGAACATACAGAAGCTGGTTCAGGTTCACTTCATATGGAGAGTCATAAATTTGTTGGTAGAAACCGCTGGAGGTGTAGAAGGCTATGCTGGCATTGAAGCGCCCCGTTCCTGTGATGTTGGCATTGATGTTCTCCCTGGCCTTGTAGAATATCTGGACCATAGTGTCCGGCTCCATTCGGCAGCCCACATGTAGTAGGAACTGTGACTGACGAGTGATCTCACCCGACTGAGACTGAGATGCCCGCACATTATTGGTGTAGGACACATAACCGTTCATCATCTTGGAGAGAGAGACAGAGAGCAGGTGATGTTGTGTGGTAAACATGCCCCATCAATGATGCTTACATTTATGGTATCTAACTAATCTGACACAGCATATTCAAGTATTAAAAGCTGACAGCTACTGACACAAATTTTCCATTTTGGCAATAGAAAACAGAAGTAACGGCATCTATATCAGCACTGAAGCCATGCTGGATCTGACACACATGTAGATCATACCTGTTTGGCGGTTCCACATGTATCGAGAGGGAAGCTGAAAACAACCTCAGTACTGGTAATACTGGGTCTGCAAAGATGATCATCCACATAAAGATCATTTCCACTGAATCCGCCCCGGAGCCCAGCGATACATCTGACCAGGTGCGCGACTCGGCAACATTGCCTGTCTCAGAGGGCGTACTCGTAGAGTACGAGGGCATGGAATGGAGCCCCACCACTGATGTGAGCTGCTACTGGCATCTGACTGTGAATTGGAGGTATTTGAGAAGGTGATACCCCTTTTTCTCCTGCCCCCGCTGGTCCCTCCCAGCTTAGAACTTCCTGTGTCCCTAGAGTTCTCTCCTCCCTCTCCAACCTCCTCTGCCTAAGCCAGCCAGTTCCCCAGCCCTGCCACGCTGGTTCCTGTCGGTCCCTCTGTGCATCCTCAGTTGATTCCATCCAGTGGTGTGAATCTGCCTCGGACCAGCTCTGCCTCGGCGTGAGGATCCCCTGTCTCCGCCTCTTGCCACCAAGCCCCAAACTCCACCTCGGCACTTCGACCCATCGGTTCTGCCTTGGCTCCATGCTCCCTCGTCTCACCATGGCCCGTCATACCACCAGCTCTGCCGGGCTCCCTCATGCCTCTGGCTCCGCCTAGGTCATGCGTCACCCTGGGTCCGCCACAGGATTCCTGGCTTCTAGCTGCGCCTCTGCCCTCCATCCCTTTGGCTCCACCAGGCTATGCTTTCCCTACACCTCTGCAGTTGTCCTTGGTCGCACTGGCTCCACTACAATCTTCCGGGTCCCCGCCACTGCCTCGCTCCCATGAGCCGTTAGCTCCACCTTGGCCCTCCAGACCTCGGCTCCATCTGGGTCTCCACCACGACTGGCTTCGTCGCAGGAGACTGCATACCTGGTCCCTCCTCCCAGGCCTCCACCATGGTTCCCTCCTGCGAATTTGCCTTGGATCATCGTGCTGGCTGTGGCCTGGGTCCCTGCCTGACTACTCCTGCTCCTGCCCCCCACCCCACACCACACAATTTTTGAGATGTACTTTGGAATCAGTAACCAACTACAATTTGTAAGTAATCTACCCAGCATAGAGAGATAGATAAATAGATAGATGTCTCTCACTTACTGCACATCAGCAAATGACAGGAAGATCCTCTGTCCTTGCTGAGCAGAGAGATACCACACACAGTAGGCATTGTCATGGTAATAGTTTGGGTAGTTTGGACTGGAAAACAGCCCAGATCCATACAGGTGTCCTCCACACTGTTGAGAAACTGGTAATCATGAAGAAACAAAATGTGTTAAATTTTACAGGTTACAAACAAGTTTCATAAGAATCAGATAATAATGTTATCTGAATTTAGCCTCAGGCATTACAAAAACTAGTGACAGTAGTACCTGTTGTTAAGTCTCTCCGTGTTGTATACGATGGGCAATACCCTGATTAAAGGAAGTAAGATAAAACTGGATGAGTATGAGCCATAAGTGTCATGTTTGAGTCTTCAAGAAGTGGTTTAGACTAAAATGAAGCCCATGGCCACATAATGCTTTAAAAAATAGAAAAAGCAGTATGGACATTTTTCAAAACATCATTTGTATAACAAGTTATGTATAAGAGCTTCCTTAAGTATTTCTGTGGTATATGTTAGTGGTGATGATAGAATCATTTAATACCACATTTCTATAAACTTTTATATTTTATTAAACTTCTACAACTCTAGACAGAAACATGGTTCTTTTTCTTTTCATTTATCTTATTGGAATAAATGCCATATTCTGACACATTTGTGTTATTCAGCAATAAATGCTTCAACTCCACGGCAAGTTTTAACAGATTTTTCATCTGTTTTTGAGGAACTTACAGTGAAAGTCAGGGCAACAGTTGCCATAGTACTGACAGTCGTGGGTGCATGAGCAGCTGCTGAAGTTGTGTCCACAGTTATACATGCAGGAGGGAGATTCTGTATCAGAGGGAGGAACAGATTTTACTCAATGTCATCAATATGTGTGTGATGTACAAATTATCGGGTCACATATTGGTGTGTATATTTAGTAAGAAAAGCAAAACTCATTACTGCCTTTAAGTAAACTGTTGTACATTCAACTGATCCATTTCATGTCATTAATCTCATCAGTGTCCCTTAAATTCAACAAAATGGCAGCAGCACCTGTTGTATCTGGCCAGTAAGTTGTTTCCGGTCCTGTTGTTGAGCACAAGCCTGTTTAAAGAGAATAGATCAAACTGAAAAGGTAAGAAACAACACTACGAGTCTCCTTTGATTTAGCAAAATCCCATTTTGTCACAAGAAATACACTGACCCATGTGCTCACTACAGGAAAGATTAGTATTTTTGTTTACAGTATTTTATCTTAAAGTGTCTGTCAGATCAAGGGGAACTCACTGTCGTAGTCAGGGCAACAGTTGCCATAGTACTGACAGTTGTAGGTGCATGAACAGCTGCCAAGGTTGTATCCACAGTTATACCTGCAGGAGGGATCTAGAGAGAGGAACAGAGTTTACTCATGATGTCATCAATGTATGATTAATGTAACTGAATGGCAGCAGCACCTGTTGTATCAATCAATGTTGTTTCTGTTGTTGTTGCTGTTGTAGTTGAGCAGTAGCCTGTGAAAAGAGAAGCGATAAAACTGAAGAAAAAAAGTAATTCTACATTGCCTCATTTGGTTTACCAAAGTCCAGTTCATCATAGTAGGCTAAATACAATGAATCATGTGAACGATTTGTGTTTTTGTTTAGGCTATTTCAAATGAAATTGTCCTGATCAAGAGGAACTCACTGTCGTAGTCAGGGCAACAGGTGCCATAATGTTGACAGTGGTCGTCACATCCACAGAGAGGAAGACTTTGGCCACAGTTATTCTCACAGGAGTATTCATCTGTTGTTGAATGTATAGATATATGTTTTTGAGAAAGTATTGCACTTTTCAGATGATCATTTATTGGCATTATAATGTCTTATAAACTAAAGTAGTTACAGGCAGGTCTTGACTGCATTACAGTTCCATATTACTTCGCCAAATGATTTAAGTTATTTCAAAGGTCCTTACAGCCAACATCAGCAAAAGAACCAAAACCCACAATGACACTGACCAAGCAAATAAATATAGTATACAAAAGGATAAAAATGACAAATTCTTTCCTTGCTTTTTGCCACAAAATTACGTTTTATTATGTACGGAAAGCATATAGCCTATTGTCTTTCTCCCACTCTGTCCCATTCAAACGCACACACATACAGTACAGTCACACTCGCACAGAAACGTGTAGTCAACTCCTGCTCTCAGTGGCTCAAGCCTCCGTTAATATATGCCCTAAAATTACGTTTTGGAATTAGCAACGGAGGCTTGGGTTTAGATGCGTAAGAAATTAGTCCCGAACACAATTGCGTTTTAAAGGGGTGGTATAAGGCCCTTTTCACAAGATGTAAAATAAGTCTTTGATGTCCCCAGAGTGTGTATGTGAAGTACCCCACATATATTTTTATATAACTTGTTAAAATGGTAACTTTTTGAAGGTGAGCAAAAACGCACCGTTTTTGTGTGTTCCCCTTTAAATGCAAATAAGCTGCTGCTCCCAGCACAGAGGGCGGAGCTTCAAGAGTTCGTGTCCTTTTACCTCACACACAGACATGCACTGAAAATTTCAAAAACTTTTAGCCTTTTATGTTCAAACCGGAGTCAGACAATGATGGAGAGACTCAAGAAGAAGTGACATGTAGAATGCAACAGGACATTTCTGAATGGTTAGTTGATGAATTTATGTAGCTGATGTGGAGTTAACTATCTTCTAGTCATTGATTAGCATATTCTGTCATGCAGAGCCGGCCCTAGACCTTTGGGGGCCCTAAGCAAAATTTGGTTGGAGGCCGTTTGACCGTTTTAGGGCCTAAAGAAAAGCAATGACTACCTTATAACTATACCATACTATATAACTATATTATACTGTATATACTATGTTTGATGTCTAACAGGAAAATTATGATACCACTGAGCTGAATGGCAGTGCAAGACACACACACACACACACACACACTGATTAACTTGCTGAATAAAAAGACAGATAAAGTGATTATCACTGAACAAAGATACATTTTTATTGACACCAGAGTTTAAGAGTCACAAACTACAGCACATATATATATATATATATATATATATATATATATATATATATATATATATATATATATATATATATATATATATATAATTTAAATTAAATAGAGCAAATAGAATAACATTTAAATATTATATTATATATAATAATAAATAGATTTTTCAAATAAACAAAATTAACAATAACATCTAAAACACCACAAAGAAAATCAATAGTAACAATATTAGGAATAAGGTAACATTTCAATATAACTATTAAAGGAGAACTCCGGCGCAAAATGAACCTTTGGTCTAATTACACATTGTTACCTAGTCAACCGTTATCTGAGATTTGTTTTCATGATTATCGAATGTAAATAGTTTTATCTCTAAAAACAGTTTAGCCTATAAAGCTAGTATAATGCTAGTATATTGGGCATAGTGTAATGACAAATAAAAATCGCTTGTTAATACCACTAACAAGGCTGAAAATAGCCCCACACTAACACGGTAGCATAATGAGGGTCCCTACCAGGGCTCGAGACTAACGGCGTCCTATCGTCCTGGGGACGATAGAAAATGTGTTTAGGACGAACAGAAATATTTTCCAGGACGCCTACGGGACGAAAAATATTTTTGTATGTGTGTTCATTTATTACTAGCCTATTAGGCTAACTTACTTATGCCAAATGCCAAAATTAACCGACCAAGCTGACTACAACGGAGCGCGTCTTCTCATGCTGTTACTATAGTTACTATCACTGGCCGGCACGTCACAATCCCCGCTGCATAGAGCCTATAGCCATTAAAATGTGTGTGATGTTTGACTAACAGGCCAGGGACATCAGTCTCTCTCAACCCAGGAAACCAGTAAAAGGTTTGAATCTGATTAGATTAGATGTAGGTGCACCTGTTGTAGTTGCCCAAGTCGTTGTCTGTGAGCAGTAGCCTGTATAAAGTAAAGTGATAGAGTTTTGTTGTACATTATCTATTGTAAATTTAAAGTTACATATATGAACATGAATACAAGAGAGATTTGTGAATACTGATTGATCTTTAAGTGTCTGATCAGGAACTCACTGTCGTAGTCATAACAACAGTTTCTATTGTCCTGACAGGAATCATCACATGAACAAGTGCCAAAGGAGTATCCACAGTTATGCCTGCATGAATTGGAATCTAACAAACAGAGAAGTAGAGGTTAGCCATTAAATTATGAGTAGGAATGGTAATCGTAATGATTCAAACAATTCTGCTTTCTTAACTGTTATAGTAATGATTCTTTAGTATTAGGAAACTAATTGGAAAGTTGCAAAAGGTGTTTACACAGGCTTTTAATGACTTTAATGATAAAATACTAATATTTAGCCTATACTGTCATATGAAACAGTCAGTAAGCACATTGATTTAAGCCTTAAATAGATTTGAAGGTGTGCATCTGATTCAATAAACAGAAGGGGTTCATAAAAGTAATTCGTTCAGGAATTCGACTACACTATTGCGCTGTATATTTCTGAATCATTGCGCTAAATATTTTGGATTAAGTCTGGGATTGTATTAAATATGAAATTCGTTCTATTCATTTTATTTAATTGCTTACCTACAAAGACCCAGCTTGCATGAAATCCTCTTCTTGATACACTGCTATCACTGTAGAAAAGCACAGTCAGATCATTGTTGCTGGAGTTGTAGCGTTTGTTCTTGTAGTCCCGTATTTCGTCCAGTAAAGGGTTGAGGGTAGAAGGACCATCATATACTCTGATGTAATCACAGCATGTTTCCAAAACTAGCAAATAGAGGAGAGTGAAAACAAATGCAAATTAATAGAATTATTCTCAGAATAATTCTCAGAATATTTGAAAACATACATTTAGTGTTCACAAAATACTTCACAAAATCTTTATTTTTGCTTGAGTAGATGAAGTTACACACTTCAGGTGTTCTGTTTCATCTCATAAATTAAGAAATTAAATCAAGCGACAAAACGGATAGAGATAATGGTAGATAATGAATGCTTCCTACAAAACATCGGTAAAGGTCAATAGCACAGTTGTCGCCCCTGTGTTATGAATGGTCCATGTGCATCGTGCGTTATCAGGGTAGTTATTAGGGTAACGGGGGCTGAAAAATTCACCCATCCAATCCGTCATAGAGCCACCACATGGTCCTGAATACAGAGGGGGAAAACAGAGAATAACAAAAAAATTACAAAATCACAACAACTTAATGCAGAGACTCACTCCTGACAAAAACTATAGATAGACAGACAGACAGATACCTGGAGACCCTTCAGTGGAATACAGCCAGTCATCTATAAAAACAAAATAAATGTATCATGCAAATTGAAGTTTCAACATTGTATAAAAAATAATGTTCATTGATTTACCTGTTGTCCATGACCCAATGGTATTTGCTGTAACATGACATATAGACATAACGTTTAATGTAATGCTTGTCTTTATAATGTATATATCAATACATGTATTCATGTTTTTATCGATGATTACTGTCAGCATATGAATTAAGAAATTATATATAATTTAAGCAAAACTTATGATGTTCAAGCAAGCCGATGATTTTCATATATTGTACAATATTCTCCAGTGAATAATAATCTTACCTTGATAGGCAGTTAGAAGCAGACAGAGAAGGCGAGTCAGGGCTTCCATCTTTCTCTTCTGATCAAGTTTGTCTTCAAACTTTCAATCATGACTTTTATAGTCAAAACCATCCTAAGACGGATTTCCTTATGACACATCAATATCCTGGAGCCTGTGCTGAATAAAAAAGTATAGCAGCATAATCGTGGAAAAGACTCAGCTGAATATTATGCAACTTTCATTACTCTTGACTGTATGATTTTTTTATAGATATATCTGTTGACACAAAGTCAGGGGCGGACTGGCCATCTGTGTGATCTGGAGAATCACAGAACGGCCGGTACTCCAGGACGGCCGGCGGGCCGGCCCACCGGCCCACCACCCGCCACACACGCAGTCACAGACATCCCAAGTCTCCCGGAAGTTCCCCGCATATTTATAGCGGCTCACTGAAGCCCGCAAATTAGTTAAAATCTCTCGGAATCTAGAGCGAATAAGAGTGCGCATGCGTAGCGCGCGCACGGCAGAGAGAGGGAGCGAGCTAGAGACCTTGCGTGTGTGTGCTAGTATGCGCGTGTGCCTCACGAAGCGCATGTAAGGACCCAACCAATCAAGTGCGGGCGGGCTTTTATCTCTACTACTGACGAACCGAATTAATCAGAAATTACTTTGCAAGTTACTTGCTAGGGATGATGTTAGGAAGTGATATTCAGCTTGCTACATTTTTAATGTTTACAGTAGTTAAAACAGCTAAACTTCAACATTTTAGCTGTAAAATGCCACATGCAGTAGCTAATTTTAAGAAATATGTTGTGCTTTTACTTTTAAAAATGTTGGTAACGTTACAGTTAATGCTTACAAACTTTGAAGATTTTGAATACAGAAGTTACATTTGTAATGGTGTAGCCTATTTTCATTTAGATGTGGTATTATTATTTGTGCAGTAGCTAAGATTAATTACTGCATAAATTAATTAAGATTATTAAGTAATAAATTCATTTTAAGACAGCATGGAATAGATTGTATAATTTGCTGTTAGCTAGGTATAGTATTATGAGCCACAATTAAAGTCTTGTGACACTCATGCCAGGCAGCAGGCGTTATTGTTGTTGTTGTCGAGTTTCCGCGCGCCGATTGCTTTGGGCCGGGCCTAGTCAAAGTCCAGGGCCGTTTTTTAGTCCCAGTCCGTCCCTGCACAAAGTTAAGCATTATGGAGTGATCATGTTAATGATGTTATATTGTACGCAAACTTTTAGCCAAAGTTGTCTCAATTACATTACAAAAATATGTACAATTTTACAAAAATGTGAAATTATGAAGCAAAAAATATCAAGTCTATGGTGTGACACGAGAGACATGAAAGTAGCACCAGTTTTAGATAAACAGTCTGACATTCCCAGTTGCTATAAATGACAGAGAATATTAAGAAATATTAAATGCTTCATGTCTCTCCACACGTTCGGACTCTCTCTCAAAAAAATGTAGCCTATGGGTTCACACATCCTCTGTTCTCTGATGCAAATGCCAAAGAAATAAGAATATTATTTCAGAATAAGTAGAGGAGATAAGTAAAGGAGTAGATTTGAAAATATATTTCTTGATATAAAAACAAAAATGTGTTTTGAAGCACAGTCGCATTGACACAGCACTATTTGAACAAAATAGTGTATTCAAAATGTATATATAACATTATCTTTACTGCTGTCTCAGATCACACCACTATCACAAACGTTGTGTCTACAGATTTATCCATTGATAAATAGAACATCCAGCTGTGTCATTTCCACAGTTAGGCTACGTAATTTCAGGCTCCAGGATATTGATCTGTCACAAGGATATCCTCCTCTAGCTAACTATTCTATTTATTTTGCTTCTAACAATTAAAATCTTATAAAGTAGCCTAAAATATATTTATAAGAATATACACCTCTGCTCTGATTTTTGAATGCAATTAACAAATTACATAATTGGAAACATATTGTATGGATCTATGTTTTCAAGTTGATGAATATTTTGGTAGGGCTTTGCCGTGCCTGCCTATATACACGAGCCCCACCTGCATATAATCACTATTTATTTCCATATTTACCATAGTAAAAAGCTATAGCAATAATTATTAAATAAAACACTAGGGATTTTTGTTGTTGTTTCTGAATTTTGACCCATGTAGGGCCTACTGCTTCAAAGATGTTGGAAACATTCTTGATATTACGCTGTACCCATATTGCACCAGCGGTTTGGAAAATGCATGGATGGATGATTCAGCTGCAGACGCCATCTTCTGGCGAGACACGGGAATTAATTCGGTGAGACCCTCACAGTGCATTATGGGTATTCTCCAGCCTTTGTGTGAGTGGATGTTTGGATGCTTTCATTGTTTATACTGGCTGTTTACAAGAGTTTATAAAATTGAGAGCATATTTTTAGGGCATTCGTAAACACAGCTTGCCTTTTTCCAACTGTAATGGCTTGTATCTGTGATGATTATACTACCCGTGTGTAAAAAAAAAAAAAAAAACATGGATTAAACACACTTGCTACAGACACACCCCAAAGCAGAGTTTTACCGCTGTAGTGAACATACATATCTCGGCTGCCACGTCATCAAGCTCTGTCAAAGGACTTCTCAATTTGAAGGATCCTTGGAGACTTGGTTGCCTTAGTTCTCTTTGATAGGTTCACTCAACGCTGCGGAAAGCGCAGTGGGATATTCTCTTAATGTGCCGATTGTCTGAAGCCTTAAAGAATCACGCCAATTCATTGGCTGATGGCGTCCGCGCGATATGGCTCCGCCACGACGCTCTTACGTCGCATCATTACATATTCGCGCGCGCGCCATCTGCTCCTCAGATTTCTCTACCTTCAGAACGAAGCGGTCACGTTGCCCTTCGCTCGTGATTTTTCTGAGCTACATCTAAGGATTATTCTCGGCGCTTCTGCGACTGTTCAAGCGGAACTCTGTTTCTCCTTACGGTGAAGTTGCCATGGATTACAGACGCTGTACTCCGCCATGTGCTCGTTACATCGCTAACGACGACCCACACAGTAAGTGCGTTAAGTGTTTGGGTTTCTCACATGCACGTGAGGCAGTTATAGGATCGTCTAAATGCAAATTCTGTGAAAATTTGTTGCTCAAAACCCTCAAATCGCGGCTCGCGGTCTTTGAGAGGGAATCATTCGTCTCCCCCTGTCGCGCTCCCGAGGCCTCTCGAGGATCCGCGACATGGGGTTCGGATGTAGAGCTTGAGGATGTGGAGTTCGAGCAGACGAGCCCCGCTCTTTCTCTCCCTCCCTCCCCTCGGCACGCGCGAGGCATGCCAGTCGAATTTTCACACGATTATTTGCGCCCCAGCCCGGGAGCACGCGACGCGGTTTCTTTCGGGCTGGAGGATATACTTTTTACCGAGGCTTCCGACTCCGAGGATTTCGGGCCTACTCTCGCCGACGAGGTTATCCCGCCGAGCGGCCAGGAAGCGCGGCCTACTGCGGCCTACGCGGAGCTTGTTGACGTGCTTTCGCGCGCTACGGAGAAGCTCACTATTGATTGGCCCGACGAGCCACGTGAGTCTCAGTCGTCGAAACTCGACGAAAGGCTTCTCAGTGGCCCTAATTCTAGGCCTCAAAGGAGGAAGCTGCCATTTTTCAGTGATCTGCATCATGAGATCTCCAGATCCTGAAAGCAGCCTTTCTCTTCGCGCCTCACTAATGCGGCTGCCGCTGATTTCACCAACCTGGTAGGCTCTGTGGAACAGGGCCATTCCGCCATTCCCGCGATTGAGGAAACTTTAGCCGACCATCTTGCTCCGTCGTCTGCGCCTTCCTGGAAGTCGCGCCCCCTCCTCCCTTCTAAAGCATGTAGGACTACTTCCTCTCTCATTGGGAAATCCTACATGGCGGCTGGGCAGGCAGGCATGACCCTGCACACTATGGCCATTCTTCAGGCGTACCAGGCGGACGTCCTGAAGGAAATGGACGAGGGCGACGGCGTGACTCCTGAAGCGGTCAAGGAGCTTCGTAAGGCTACGGATTTAGCCTTAAGAGCCACCAAGCATACCGCACGCGCTATAGGTCGCTCTATGGCTGGTTCTGTTGCGGTGGAGCGCCACTTGTGGCTTAATCTCACGGAGATCCGTGACAAAGAGAAGGTTTTCCTCTTGGACGCCCCCATTTCTCAAACGGGGTTGTTTGGTGAGGCGGTCAACACAGTGGTTGAGAAATTCCGCTCCTCCAAATCCCAATCGGCCGCGTTCAGACATTTCATGCCCAGGAGGGCTAGGGAACCTTCTGCTCCCCCCCCCCCCCCCGGTGCGACCCAGAGAACATCCCTCTCATAGACCGGAGTTCTCTTCCAGAAGAAGCGAACCGGGGCATCCCCCACCTACCACGGTTTGGGGAGCCCGCGGTCGCCCGTTTCCCCGTCAACGGCCTCACAAGCGCCTCCAGTTGAAGCGGTCCGACAAACCGACTGCTCCGGCGGCCCAGAGCCGTTCCTGACCTTCCGGTCAGAAAAAGGAGAGCTCCTCTGCTTCCTCAAGGTTGGGTCAGACCGCACAAGCGTTTCTGCCCACCTCCCAGCTCTTCATTCCTTGCCCTGTCACCTTCGCCACTCAGAGTGTCTCGAAGTGCAGGCCATATTTCACCTTCTCTACTCAGTCCGGTGCGGGAGGAAGGAGACGCTTTCTGCTTTCTCCCCTCACCCCCCACACTCTCTATAACTGCCGGCCGCATTCTCGGAGGCATTTTCCGTTTTCCTCCGGAGCAGGCGGATCTGGTCACCATGACCCCAGCATCGATGCCTCCCATCACGTGCCAG